CGCTGCTTTTGTTGGCTTCATTGCCTTCATCTTTTGACAACATCGTGACCACGCTTTTGTTTGGAAAAGAAACCTTAAAATTTGATGAAGTAGTTGCTGCGTTGTTGATGAACGAGACTCGGCGGGGTGGCAACGGGGTATCAAATGACGGTCAAGCTTTGGTAGCAAAAGGAGCTGGTCGGGAACGAGGACGGTCTAAAGAGAGGGGCGGCGCGTCCCAACGCTTCAAATCGAGTAGTAAAAGCTTTCGGTGTTACTACTGCGATGAAGAGGGTCATTTCAAAAGGGATTGTCCAAAGAGGAGGAAGGAAAAGAAGGACGGGAAAACACCCGTGACTGCGGTTGCAGAAGGTTCGAAACAAGAAAGTGAAGAAGACTTGTTTTTGGAAACTACAAAGAGTCTAGGTAAATCGGATTGGATATTAGATTCAGGTTGTTCGTTTCACATGTGTTCAGTTAAGGAACAATTTGATACGTATCAAACTTGTGATGGGGGTGCTGTGAAGATGGCAAATGGTGCACGGAGCAAAATTGCAGGGGTCGGAACAGTGCAAGTTCGCATGTTTGATGGCATGGTGAGAACATTAACTGGAGTGAAACATGTACCAGGCCTAAAAGGAAATTTGATTTCATTGGGGGCTTTAGATTCAAAAGGCTGCCGAATTTTTGCTCAAAGTGGAGTGTTAAAGATTTCAAGGGGAGCAATGGTGGTAGCAAAAGGAGTTTTGTCAAAGGGCTTGTATAAACTTGTAGGAAAAGATTTGACACGGAAGTTGTCAGAAGGAAAATTTACAAGTGCAACGAGCGGAGCATTTGCATGGAAGAAGCGGGTGACATTTGAAGCTTCTCAAGTTGGTGGAGACTGTGACCTCGCCGGAACGAGCGGGGTGGAGCCGGACCATGGTTTGATTAATTAATCAAGGTGGAGTTTGTTGGGATATTTGATTAAATAATCAAAAGAAACAAAAAAAAGCCATGCATGGTCTTCTTAGTAAGTATACACACGGCTAAGGAAAAAGAGGGAAAGGGTGTGAAGAGAGAAGTGCTACACAAAATATCACCAATATTGTGTGAGTGAGTGTAGGGAGTAACTGGTTTTAGTTACTCGGAAAAATACATCCGGGGATAGGGTGTGAAAAGTCTGTTTATAAGTGTCTGGTATTTAGCACTTGTAAACAGGGAGAGTTTTTTGTGTATCGTTCTGAAATAGTGAAGATATAATTTTTCTCTCATATTTTCTTCTTGTGTATTGTGTTTATTTATTTTTCAAGTTCTCAATATTTTTCGGTATATTACGTGCTTAAAATCCCAACATGTTTTTATTTTCTAATGTAGGACCATTGGTCATTATCCATTAGTCATTATTCAACTAAATGTCTAGCATCACTTGGACATTAGTTTTCTCACTAGTCATTATTAAGTCCTATTTAGGGAATAAAAAAGTTTAAGTCCTACATTGAGAAATGACTTATGTTTTAGTCCTATTCAGTGCAAATTTCATATTTAATAATGATTTTAAATTTCTTCAAACAATTTTATTTCATACACCAAACACTTATTATTTCTCTTTGATTTCAAAATTTATATCATACTCCTCCGTCCCTGAGTATTTGTCCAGTATTTCTTTTTGGCCGTCCCACGATATTTGTCCACTTTCCATTTATGGTAAAGAAAATAATATGAAATGTCTATTTAACCCTCATCATTTACTTCCCCGCTCATTCAAATCTAATCAAATATTTTATCTCTCTCCCTCTCTTTATTCTCGCCCACTCATCTTCTTCCCAAATTTCCTTCATTTTACACATGAATCAGAGCCGTGCAGCTGTGGATGGATACCTTCTCCGATGACAATCAAGTGGGAGAATTGGAGTTGGACTGCGGTTCTTTAGGATTGTATGTCTTCTCATAATCTAGATCTCCACACTGGTAGAGAAGACATCTTGTCCATCTCTGTCGAGGTCGTCGGAATCGAAAACGACTGTCGCCGTTGAGGCTGTCTTCACCGCCAACAACCCAAACCTCTTTTGGTTTTCTTTTCTCCCTTCTCCGATCTTGGTGCATCGGTATTACTGGCGATTAACTTTGCGGCGGAGTTCTTGTTGTGCTGGGAGGATGATGCTTGGAGGATGGGAGTGGGTGGTGTGATAGCAGGGGGTGCGTTAGCAGGCTGAAGGGAGTGATGTACCTCGTGGTAAGGCATGAGGACGACAATGATATTTTTTGTACCAGGGGTAATTGAGTCATTTTGCTCCTCATCTTGGTAAATGTGTCAATCCCAAAGTGGACAAATAGTATTCTATTTTCAAAACTTATGAAAACGAAACTTTGGATTAGAAATCTAGGTTTACAAGTCAAACCTCTTTGAAAAAAAGTCAAACATTCATATCCATATTCATCGTTAGATTTGTTCATTTAGAAAAACCTTATGAAGCATTTCAAATAAAAAGAAAAAGAGAAACCTTAGAAAGGGATTGATCTTGGTTCAACGTTTTGGTTTGTGGAAGCTAACAAGATTGGGTTAATCTGTTGAATGTTAATCCAGGTGTAATAATGAAACTTATTGTGCGAGTGATTGAAGCTCGAAATATACCTGCAATGGATCCAAACGGGTTCAGCGATCCCTATGTGAAGTTGCAGGTTGGAAAGCAGAGGTACAAGACGAAAGTGGTGAAGAAATGTTTGAATCCCTCTTGGTGTGAGGAGTTCATCTTTCGGGTTGATGATTTCGGGGATGAACTTGTTATCTCTGTACTGGATGAAGACAAGTACTTCAATGATGATTTTGTTGGTCAACTCAAAATCCCTGTTTCTAGTATTTTTGAAGCCCCGCACAAGTCACTTGGCACTTCTTGGTACGTGTTAAGGCCAAAGGCTAAAAAGGCTAAGAATAGGGATTGTGGTAAGTTATTTCTTATAGTGTGGTAAGTTATGATCTGATATAGGGATTTAGAATTATGCACAATCCAACCCCTTTAGCCAAATAGATATTCCAGTCTATGTTCAGAGTTGGATGTTTACATTTTACTCCATTGTGTGTTTTTGGTAACAATGCTAATTTAAAATCTTTGACCCCCTAGCCAGCTTTGTCATTGGTACACCATGCAATTTAACCTATTAAGGGAAAACTAACAGCAACTGTAGAAGTTGTTCTTGAGCTGCCAATGTTGAGTCAAATTCTGCTATCATATCCAACAGGTCAAATTCTTCTCACTCTATGTTTCTCGCCGAACAACTTGTCGACAGACTTGCTATCTAGTCGCAATCCTGCTCCATTACCAAAAGGGCTTGATGATGTGCAAAGTAGGTCTCCATCGAGGTCCTCCACTGCCAATACGATATCATCTTCACCAATAAAGTCAGAGGAGGCTGTCTCTTCAAAGGAAGAAAAGTCACATACACAAACCCTTGCTGGTCGGTTTTATCAGATTTTTAACAAGAATACTGATGGCCCAACCACATCCTATGCAAAATTTACAGATACAACTGAATTGTCTGACAGCGTTAGTACAGAGGATAATGATGATGCACAAGAGGAGCAGTCTTCATCCATCAGTTTTGAAGAAATGATGAGGAACATGGAGATGAAACAACAAGGCAGTGAAGTTCCTCGGAATTTACCAGGAGTAGTCCTGGATCAGTTGTATGCCATTGCTCCCCCTGAACTGAATTCATTGCTCTTTGCACCCGACTCGAACTTTCTTAAATCTCTCACTGATTCTCAAGGATCCACTGAATTGAAAGTGGGACCATGGACGTTTGTAGGTGACGATTCAAATTTAAAAAGAGTAGTCAGTATGACAAAGGCTGCAAGTAGATTGGTCAAGGCTTTGAAAGCAACAGAGGAACAAACTTATCTGAAGGCCGATGGGAAGACATATGCAGTATCTGTCAATGTAAGCACTCCAGATGCTCCATATGGTAACACATTTAAAATTGAAACACTTTACTGCATCACTGCCGGCCCAGATCTGGCTTCAGGAGAAAAGACATCAAGACTTGTAGTATCGTGGCAGATAAACTTTTTGCAGAGCACTATGATGAAATCTATGATAGAAAATGGAGCAAGGCAAGGTATAAAAGACAGCTTTGAGCAATATGGAAGTTTATTATCTCAAAATGTAAAGCCAGTAGATGAAAAAGAGTTTTCTTCCGAGAAAGACCAGGTTTTGGCAACCCTTCAAGTGGAGCCACAGTCAGATTGGAGACTTGTTGTTAAGTACTTTGCTAATTTTACTGTAATATCAACATTTATCATAGGGTTGTATGTGGCTTTGCACATCTTCCTCGCGATGCCTAGCACTATTCAAGGGCTTGAGTTTGTTGGGCTTGACTTGCCTGATTCTATTGGTGAATTGATTGTGTGTGGAGTATTAGTACTGCAAGGCAAAAGGGTCCTAGAGTTAATGTCGCGCTTTATGCAGGCAAGAGGACAGAACGGTATGAATAAAAGCTAGAATACTGAATGTGTGTGTGTGTCTTAGACATTATTACTATAGTCCCTTACTTTGTACTCCCTATATTCTAGTGTAATTGTCGTGTTTGATTATTTTCAGTCAAATTCGACGAACACTGATCATCAATTACACAAAACTACTTTATTTAAACAGTGAAATAGCCTTTTTGAAGGAGTTTTCAAGATAATCTAATGAAATTGTTTTTGTAATAATATGCAATTTAATTTGTATTTTGTTGATGATCAAAGTTTGAGTTTGACTTCAAAAAGTCAATCTGGACAAATAAACTGGAGTGGAGGTAGTACATTGTTTGACTATCACATTTCTATTTCTCTCTAATGATCCTCTTAAAAAGTTATCATCAGTCTTTCTCAGTTCCCATTTGTTGTATCATATGATATGTTTCATTTCCTTTGAATCTATTAGCCAAAGGTGGTGACCATGGAATTAAAGCACATGGAGATGGCTGGTTGCTAACCGTTGTGTTGCTTGAAGGGCACAGTTTTGCAGCTGTTGACTCAAGCGGGTTCTCTGATCCATATGTGGTTTTCAGTTGCAATGGAAAGACAAAAACCAGCTCGATTAAGTTCCAAAATTTAGATCCCAAGTGGAATGGTATTACAGTTTTTGTTTCAATGCACATTATTTCTGTACGTTCATATACTGGATTTTACTAAAATTTCTTCTATTTTAAAATTCCTTGCATACAGAAATTTTTGAGTTTGATGCAATGGATGAGCCGCCATCTCTACTGGTTGTGGAGGTTTTTGATTTTGATGGTCCTTTTGATGAAGCTACCACTCTTGGACATGCTGAAATTAATTTTTTAAAAACTAAAATATCTGATTTATCTGATATCTTAGTGCCTCTTCAAGGGAAGTTGGCTCAAGCTTGTCAATCTAAGTTGCATTTAAGAATTTTCTTGAATAATACAAAAGGTAACAACCTTGCGGTAGATTATTTGTCTAAAATGGAGAAAGAAGTTGGGAAAAAGGTACCATCCAATCACAACTTTCTTCTCAAATGATTCTCTTTGCCAGTTTCATTTCTTTGACTTAATTATTTTCTTATCAATTGCCTTGTAGATCAGATTAAGGTCCCCTCAAACAAATTCAGCTTTCCAAAAGCACTTTGGACTTCCACCTGAAGAGTTTCTGATTAACGATTTCACTTGTCACTTAAAACGAAGAATGCCTCTTCAGGTTGTACAACATTCTCCTTTTCTCACACTATTGGTGATTTTTAAAAAAATAAAAATTATGCCATATTATGCTTGTCTACTTTGGAACTTGGAAGTTCAAAATATGATTGGCATTGGCTATTTGAGGTGACATGCCTAGTGTCTACTCCGTCAGTCACAACTCACAAATCATCGTCCTATTATTGTACACTTTTAAGGATGGTTGAGTATAATTTTCATATTCTGACCATAAAAAGTTGGTGACCTTTTTATCATAAAAAATGGGTGACATTTTTACCGTTATAATTCTAAATTTCATAACGAAGATGTAGGAACAATGCATATATGCCTTATGAGAGAATTTTTTACAACTAACAAAACATTTTTTTACAAAATATTGTAAGTGCACAACTAATTCCACACACCTTGTTAGAGGTTCCCACATTGGAAAATAAAGAGAAGTATCACTAGCATATAAAGAAGGGTGGAGCCCCTACCCATCAGCTTAAGCTTTTGGGTTAAAAGTGGATCCCAACTTTATATGCAAGTGGTTAATTATTTAATTTAATTTTATCCAACAATTCGTCCATTGTTCTTGGCCTACCAAAATTTTAACATGGTATTGTAGGAGGTCTCGTTCAGGTTGATTTTTCCTAGTTGTTTGGACGTATGTGTAGTGATATGAGCTACCCGTCCGTTGTTGGGGATAAGTTGGCTACTTGGCTTGGCTTGGGTATAAGAGATTGAGATGTCACTGCCCGTTGTGTGGGCTAGCTATAAACAGATTGAGATGCTAGACTCGTTTGTTCAAGTGTTAACTAGTTTATGCTAGTTACCACTTGAGGGGGCGTGTTAGAGGTTCCCACATTAGAAAATAAAGAGAAGTATCACTAGCATATAACGAAGGGTGAAGCCTCTACTCATTAGTATAAGCTTTTGGGTTTATAGTGGATCCCAACTTTATATGTAAGTGCCAAGCGATTAATTTTACCCGACACTCCATCCATTGTTTTTGGCCCACCATAATTTTAACACACCTCACAAAGGAAAGGTGGACAACTAAGTCCCTAAAGAGGGTTCATCTTTTTTTGGAAGGGTGATGCTCTTTGTCCTCACCATTTTTATTAATCACCTATATCATCTTTTTATATATAACCTTCTTAATAGATACGCCCTCCCCACATACACCAATGCTTTGTCTAAGCAAGAAAATTTGAAGAAAGAAAACGAGAAAAGAGTTTAAAAAGATACAAAGATTATAGAAAGAGTGGATTTTATGATTGTTTGGTAATTATTATAAGAGAAATAAGAGAGATGTGAAAGGAGAGAAGTGAAAGTAATTTATGAAAAGACAAAGAGACCATTATATTTTACTCCGTACTTTAATAAAATACCATACAGAGTGGAAAATGGAAAACAAAACCAAGGTTCTACTTTATTCTCATGGATGGAGAGAAGCAAAAAGTGGGATGGCCCTCATAGTTATCAAGGCGTCGCCTAGGCGACGCTTAGGCGTCTGGGCGAGGTATTATGGACGCCCAATTGGTCGCCTTGTCTCTTCTTCCCTGGGCGACTGAGGCTTCAGTTTAGCGTCTGTTTGGCATCTATTTGGCGTCGATTTGAGATCTGAATTGCAAGGAAGATCGGAAATCCATAGGAATTGTGCGGATCTGTGATTTAGATCGTGAGGTCGTAAATCTATTGGATCGCGATCGACGGAGATCCCTTAGGTTTTGTCCAGCGTTCGTGAATTCTCCGGATCTACGCCAGTACGCGACCCTTCGGTTTTGACGGAAACCCCTGAGGCTTTGACTAGCGACAAACTAGGCAAAGTAATGTGTTTCTTTTTTTTTATTTTTTATTTTTTTGTGAGTGAAACATGCGGAATTTTTTAGACAGGCTTTGACTGTGGATTTTTTAAAGGAAATCTACTTTATACGGAGTATTTTTTTTAAAGCAATGTGTTATCTATTCTTGTTTTCTACAAAGTATATACCCCGGAGTACTAAGTAATGTATTTCATACCTATAAAATTAATTATTTCATTGTATATGCTTTTACATCAGTATCAATAAAATTATTAAGGTCGCCATAGCCCACTTGCCCAGCGGACGCCTAATCGCCTAGGCGATTGGAAGGTACTCTAGCGCCCAGCCTCGCCTAGCCGCCGTAACAACTATGATGGCCCTATATTTTTTCATTTCCTTCCTAACTCCTCTGCTACCAAACAAGAGAAAGTTTTTCTTTCTCAAATTTTGTCCCACATTCATTCTCCTCTACTTCTATTCGTTTAAACATAGTAAATTACCCTTCTCCAATTTAAACGTCAATTCATTACGTCTGCTTACACGCACCCACAGACACCCACATATACACACACTCACCTAGACATTTTCCACATTTCCTTTCCAAGAATGGGGAAATTTATTATTGAGTAGCTCGTAATGTACATTGATTGTTGCCTTCATGAGTATAACCTTACCTGACTCTTTGGTCAGCATGTTATTCCTTCTGGTTTGTAATCCTTAATGGCTTAATTGATGGAAACATTATGCATTTTGATGCATCCGTATCAACAACTTTTGTAAGGTTTAGACCGCAAAACCCTCTCAGTTCCGCTTCCTCCGGGCATAGTAATAAAATTATTGATTATTGACTTGAGAGTTCATTGCGCATGAGCTTGGGTACTGGCATTGGGCTATTGTTTGGGAGGGAGGTTGAAGATTTAGTTTGGGGAAGGATAATTTAGAGAATAGAGGATGTTGCATTTAGCATGTTTAAAAAGGTTGATGTATTTATGAAAGGTTTTAGTAAATAGGACCACCCTTCTTAGACGCTTGACACCATTTGAACTACTTTCTGATTCACTATTTTATTACATCTTTTTGTTGATTGTCAACTATCTCCCTGAATAGTTAGTGTTATTGAACAGGGCCGTCTATTTTTGTCAGCAAGGATAGTTGGATTTCATGCTGATCTCTTTGGACACAAGACAAAATTTTTCTATCTTTGGGAAGACATAGAAGACATTCAAGTCACCCCCCCAACGTTGTCATCAATGGGCAGCCCTATTGTTATCATGACACTAAAGCCTCACAAAGGATTTGATGCAAGACATGGTGCTAAAACTCAGGATGAAGATGGCAGGCTAAAGTTCTATTATCAATCGTTTGTGTCTTTCAATGTGGCACATAGGTAATATAGTGTTGAATAACACTACTTTATTTCATTTATTTTTCGCCCATTTTAATGGGCTAAGTTTGTGTACATCTTGAACCCTCAGACCCCAATGGAGTTGGGATTATACTTGGTTTGTTGTTGTTTTGTTGTAGTTGTTGTTGCTGCTGCTACCATTGTGGTTATATACTACTCCGTATTTCTTGCTGCATCCCCACTTCACCAATGACACACATCACATATATGCACCTAGAGTATGTCAAAGGACTCCCAACACATGGGTAGTACCGAAACACATATACATGGGTTATCCAAATACTCATACATGGTAGTACCAAAAGACTCGCTCCAAGTTCTCAGTGTTTGCAGAATATTATTATTATTACCAGCAGTATAAGAACACATTAATGATGATAGCATTTTCCATTGCTGTTAAAAATAAAAGGATGGTTGCATGTTTGATGAATATTTTGAAGAATTATTGATAATTGTCTGAGTATTCATTTTATGCTTTGACACATAGTCGGTTATGTTGATATGTTTCTCACCTCAGTCTCTTTGACCCTTCTAAAAGAAGGTTTTATTGTTATGCCATTTGGTGCTTTCTCTTTTCAACATTTATTGGAATCCTCTTAGATCTGGTGTTTGCCTCAAAATCATAGGGTCTTAAACATTTAGTTTCTTATTCCATCATTTCATTTTGTCATCCTCATATGGATGGGTTCCTTTTGTCTTGAATGATGCCATAATTCCCACAAAATTATGTCTGGCTTCTAGAATTCTGATACTTTGCTGATTGCTCACAGGTTTTCTTTTGTTTATGGGCTATCACCTAAGAGTTCTTGCATTTCTTTCCTCTATGATAATAGAAACATCTCTTTGTGATATTAAGGGTAAAACTGTCTTTGCTGCATTTCATCATTTGTGATTTACTTAGCGCAATGTGCCTGTTAGTGAAGGTTACTTTCATCCCTTTAAGTCATCATATACATATGATCTTACATATTTGCACCTTTATATTGGAAATAGGAGAAATATTTATTGAATACTAATGACTTCATCTGCACATTTGAAGCTGTATACTAGAAGTAAGCATAATATTTATTAAATCCTTGTGACTTCAGCTACATATATGAACCATCTGAAAATAAGACAAATATTTATTGGATGTATATGGCTTCAGCTATCTTTTGAATAATATCATTTTGACTGTTTGTAGGACAATTAAGGCATTGTGGAAAGCAAGAGCATTGAGCCCTGAGCAGAAAGTACAAATAGTTGAAGAATCAGAGGCAGAGACACTAGAAATGACCGAAGAGGAGTCTATAGCAAAAAACATACAAGTTGTAAATGAAGAAAATGAAGGAAAAAGCTTACAAAGTGAAGATAGTAGATCATTCTTGTGGGATGAGGATTTGCGCATGTCGACTTTTTATTCTTCTTCACTATCAGTCCCTGTGAGTGTATCTGAAACTTTGTGTTTTGTCCCATTGTACTTTGAGGCATGCATCACATTTTTTTACTTGATTCTGTATACGTATGGGGTGGGCATCTCAATCTTATCATTGCATCTACTCTGCTCTTTGGTATCAGAATTCTAGAAGCCACAATTTTTTTCTCTACACCCTGACAATGCCAATGTTTCTCTCGGAAAGAATTTCGATAAATGATAACACAAAATGTATGAACCAGATGCGTCCATAATACCTTTCTCACCAATAACTGTGTCTTCTTGGTTTCCTCTCTTATTCATGTGCAGACTGAGTTTTTCATGGAATTATTCAGTGGGAATGAGCTTGACCACAGAATAATGGAGAGAATTGGATGTCTTAATTATTCTCCTAGCAGTTGGGAATCTGAAAAGCCTGATGTTTATCAAAGGCACCTATATTACAAATTTGATAAATGCATATCACATTATGGAGGTGAGGTCACTAGCACACAGCAGAAACTTTACCTTCCTGAGAGAAATGGGTGGATTGTAGAAGAGGTGATGACACTTCATGGGGTTCCTCTTGGAGACTTTTTTACAGTACGTGCATCCCATCCCGTCCTGATTGCCCCAGTTTCTAATTCAAATACATTTTTAATTAATAGGCTTCTAAGCACTCTATTATTTTTCCAGCTTCATCTGAAATATCTAGTCGAGGCTGCACCCCCAAGATCAGTAGGATGCAGTGTTACCATTCAGTTTGGAATGATGTGGTTGAAATATGCTAAGCATCAGAAGAGGATCCGAAAAAACATTGAATCCAATCTGAAAAAGCGTGTGCTTATCATGTTTAGTTCACTTGAGAAGGAATTTCATAATTTGGGATAGCAGACGTTGCATACACAATGACTGTACAATTTGTGAATTAAGTTATATACCAAACTGCCGGTGCAGAAAATAGCTACTACTCCTACTAGTAAGATCCAACGACAAGTGATCGTGTACACTATGCCATAACATGTTGCTGATGCTGTGATGATATCACGTCATATATATACTTGCTGAACAGAAAGATGTGACAGGAAACAGTGTATTGATTGACATTACTAACTGGTCTGCAGCTGCAATGCTAGAGAGCTGCTTAACAGGATCTTGTATAACTAAGCCGAACATGCTTTGGGCAAGTGGTTATAATCCTTGTGTGGGTTTTACAAACAGTATCTTAGTGTATCTCAAAAATGTAAAACTAGAACAGTTATACTTATTTTTTCCCCACTTAAGTTGTCTGTTTACTATTCATAGGTCAAACTTCAACCACATTCTTTTACCTGTTTTTGCTACCTATTTGAAGAAATAATATAATCATGTCAACTATTGTTTTGTAACACTTTTGATGTAGTTTGTGTTTGAATAAAGGCTCAAAGCATTTGAGCAAAAATGCAAGAAAGAAAAACGAAGTGAAAGTAAAGTAAAGAGCATAAGGAAAGAGCACACTGTATTTATAATGGTTCACCACAACTTGTGGCTAATCTAGTTCCCGAGAAACACTCTCGAAAGTCCCAACTCTGTTTAGCTTAAAGGTGCTTAACAAACCAATACAACCTGAGAACTCGAGTTACACGAGCCTCAACACCACTTGCTCGGATATACCTCACTCCAAGACGTTAACAACTCATAGATGTATCCTCTACAAAACTTCAATCGCTCGAACTCCTCACCCAAGACTTCAACCACTAAGATTACGAGTTCTTTGCAAACCAAATGCTCAATGAGAAGAATTGGTCTTCTCAAACCTTTCTCTTATACAAATAACACTTTACATAAAGAGATACAATGAAAGCTCTATGAACAACACAAAGTTATCCTTCAAATGTCTCAACGAAAGCTTTAAATTTGAAGCATAAACGATATGAATGTATGAAAAAGAATGAGAGGTGTTGTTCAATAAAAAACAATGCCAAAGGCCTCTATTTATAGGGCTTAAAGAATGATGACCGTAGCTAATCAATCCAAATAAGATTAGTCGAAAATTTGTGGAATTTAAAAAGTGGTTTACAGAAAAATGGTCTGAACATCGATGTTCTAAGGTAAACATCGCTACTCTGAGTTTGACTTTCCTTTTGAAATGGCTAACGGTCATCGATGTTTTGAAGGAAACATCGATATTTGGGTTGTTCACTTTTAAAAATGAAAATATTTTATCTTAAAGACCTCCAACAGTCAGAAGAAAACATCAATGTTAACCATTGAACATTGTTGTTCAAAAACTTACTGCCAAACCAAGTTCGGACATCAAAATATCAAATATTTCAACCCATATTCGATGTTGGGCTGGTATGGTGTGATTTTTGAAAATCAAGTTGAAAACCAAGGCAAAAAACCGATGTTAAAAACCAAAGTTTCCCAAATCAAAAACCAAATTTTAGAAACACTTATTTATGATATATAAATTAAAAAACAAGCAATAAATGTTAAAAATCAAACATTTAAAGTAAAACCATGGATCGCCAAGTGAAGGATGATTTCCACAGTTTTAGGCCAATGACCATAAACCAAGATTAGTTTTTGAAACCTAAAGCTTTGAAAAACATTTAAATATGAATAGGAGGGAAAACCCAAGATAAAATCATGAAAACCACTTGGTTGAAATGAAAGTCAAAAATCAACGCTGATAAATGAATGTTGAACACTAATAACCAACACTGATAACTCAAGGTTATGGTTTTGGTTGGGAAAAATGCAAGTATGAAGACCATGATTTTATGCATATGAAAAGTAGCTTAATTTGAGCCAAAAGCCAAGATCAGTTAAACGATGCTCTTACATTAAGTTCTACCTATGACCTACGACTTGGGGTCTTCGGTCTTGAACTCTTGAGCACTTGTTTGCTTGTCTTGAATCCTTGGAATAATCATTTCAAGCACACATTCTTTGTCATTACCACATGCTTTTACTCATTGTTTGTTGATTTATTAGCTAGGGTTTGAATTATTTATGGTAGCGATGCAATTACCTTCTTAGGCTGTAAAATCACCGGATTTGCCGTGTTGTAAACTCAGAAATTAGGTGGTAAAGATCAGGCAATAATCACGCAATGTTTTATTGAAAAATAATCAAAGGGCAAGGTTGGCATTACAATGAAAATGGGCACGCTGGCGGAAGGAGTTAGAATAGCACTCATATTTTGGTAGAGCATCTCATATTAAATTACCATTTTTAGTAGAGCATTCGTTATCTTTTTTATACACGGTTTTTATACCTTTTTTATACACAGTTATTTTAAATTACACGGTTATATGTTGATCACAATTACACTAATTTTATATTCACGGTAATATTAATTGAGTAATTACTCAATTACGGTAACGAAATTAAATTAAATTTCCATTCGTTACCTTTTTTACACACGTTTATATTAAATTAACATTCGTTACCATTTTAATTACACGGTTATATTAAATAACCATTTTTAGTTGAGCATTCGTTACCTTTTTTATACATGGTTTTTATAACTAAAGTTTATTATGCATTTTATACAAAGTTTATTATGTATTAAATTTTCATTCGTTACCTTTTTTATACAATTCCTTTCTCCGGAATTTCAAGTAAATATAACTAAAGTTTATTATGGTAATTACATCTTTAAATACCTTTTCTGTTATACGTCATCAAAGTTTTGAATATTTAATTTTGAATATTTTCCAAAAATAAACTCTAGACAAACACATTTTCTATATTAGACAAACACCATAATTAGACAAATTACCATTTCTATATTCAATACTTACCTTTTGTACCTCACAACCATGGGTGGGAAAACGCAAGGCGAAATTCCCCTTGTTTTAAATATAGTATAGATATAGATATAGATTATGTTCTTCTCCCAAACAAAATTTATATAGTTAAAAATGAAATAAAAAGTTTTACAAAATTATAGGTGATAAGACTATATTAATTTCTCTAATGGCATTGAAAATTGGTAAAGAATGTGTTTAAAGTTTTACTTTGTGAATAATAAACAAATAACTTAAAATAAGATTAAATTAGGGCGAATGGAGTAATGCGAGTAGTAAGAAATTAGGTCAAATAGCTCTAGTGCCACAGCGATTTTAAGAAATTGGCACCAATACCCTCTCTTTTCCAAACTTATTTTTAAAGTTCCCATGGTTTAAAAACATTGCACCCACACACCCTCAGATCATTTTCCGACGAAGAGTGAGATTGATGCCTACTTTCTAAACTATAGGGGGGCACTTGTGCTCATTTCTTAATTTTTTTGTTCAGTATTTTTTCCCTTTTTTTATCTCATTTTTTATCTATTTGTTTCCTTTTCCTAGAAAAATATTTTGAATCTCTTTTAAACTTTTTATAATGTTTTAAAAAAATCAAAATTCTTTGTGTTTGAAATAAAAATAAAAAACTAACATATACTCTATCTAGCTTAAATTTAATATTTTCACTTTTTATTTTCTAGAATATTTTTTGGTAAGTTCAAAAAAGAATCGAGAATAGAAAAAATATAAAAAGAAGAAATGAAAAAAGTTGAAACATGCAAAAAAGAATCTTATATAAAAAGGAATTTTCAGAACCCCTAAAAAAGTCCTTACAATTGGGATGTCCCAAAAGGATATTCTTTTTTATTTTTTATTTTATTTGATTTCTTATTTCTTGAAGTTCTAAAAAAAATTTACTTTTTTTATTTCGGAAAATAAAAAAAGTTTTTAATTTCAAACATATATTGGAGTATATGTTAATTATTATTTTTTGAAACAAAAACAATTTTAAATTTTAAGAACATTATATAAAAAATTAAAAAGAAATTTAAAAAAACTTGATTAATAAAAAAACAAATAAAGGAAAAAATGAGAAAGAACAAAAATTAAACGAAAAATAGGAAATGACCACTAGTGCCTCTATGGTGGGAAAATAGACACAAATACCTTTTTATGCCGAAAAACGACCGGAAATGATCAAGGAGGTACTAGCACAACATTTTAAACCCACAAATACTGCTGCTATTTGAACTAAAAAATTATGGAAGTGGTTGAGAGTGGGGACGAAAGAGTTATCGCGTGTGGCTTCAAACGACTTCCATCAGAAGCTGAAAAGTTGGACAGTATAGTGCGTCGACGAACGGCTCAGCATCACCTGCATTCCCCAAATCTTCAAAATCGCCCGCTAGTACAGGTATGAATGAATTAAGAGCATATCTAATTTTTTTTCCCGGACAATGTGTTATGTGTACAAGGGAAGACTATTGCATGTTATGCAGTGCATTTGTTCGTGGGTTGGATCGTTTGAAAATGCAGTGTGCGTGTTAAAACGTGAAGTGTAATATATTTGTGGTGTTTTACAATTTGAATCGTGTTCCTGGATGAATTGGGGTCGATGTAGCATAATAGGTACTACAACTTTAGCATAATAGGATGTTTGAAATGCATTGTGTGTAGATTTGAAATGGATCGTCTGTAGCTTTGTGTTTGAGTTAGGCATTACGTATCGTGCGTGGATTTTCAAATATGACATCCGAAATTCGATGTTGATTTGTGGGAAGTTAGGGTTTGGCATTTTCCCATAGACATGATAAAGGTTTTTCTTTTTATTCATCTAGTGGTGGCATACCTTTCGAGTAGGGGCAAGGTCTGCGTACACACACCATATGAATATGATACTAATAGCATCTTTTGATTGTTCGTACTGCATCATTTGATATTAATTCATGGGAAAAGACCTCCGAAGTGATTGATTCTGACCCCCTAGACCGTTCATAAATGATGTAAGTGTGTTTGCTCAAGGTTTTGTGCACTGTCCAAATCTGTAAATTTACTATGTATGTGTTTGAAATTATGTGTTATGAGACATGGGAACCTTAACTTTCTTCACATGAAATTTGTGTGCAATTATGCTGCGGAATAAACAAGAATGCAATTTTAATTTTGTTACAGGAGAGGATATATATGTACTGGGCACCATCATAAAGCAAGATTGAGCGTTCCAAAATACAAATAGTTTAACAAAAAAATAAAGAAAACTTGAGATCAGAATATGTTAGTGTCAATGCATTAAATGCATCCTCCACAATGGCGTAAAAAAGGCCAACAGGTAAAGGATACCAAACACAGTACAGTGGTGCATTCAACATTCAACAAAAAAGATGAAAAGAATCACATTATTTAATATTGTAAACTTCCATCTTGTAAAACAATGCATCTAACAATCAATAACTTACACTGTATTCTTACTACGGTCAAAGAATAAATGTCACATGACAAGCTGGTTTGATATTAGTGCATTCTCTTGCCCAGAATTAGCATTATTATTGACCATTTATCTTACAATCTCATGTATAAGTGTGATCAGGCGTTGTTTGCACCACTATGTTGTGATATATGTATCGGCGTTGTTTGCACCACTATTGTGATATATGCATCTGAAACTGTGTGTATCTTCAATTGCTTGAAAATGACAAAAATGTGCCTACATAGAAGAGCTAGAAAAGTGTAGTATTTGCAGCTGCTCAGTGCACTACCATTCAGTTGTTTATGTATTACTGTAAACACCTTTTGTTGTCATATTTGAGAACATATTCCACTGTAAATTGATGATGCAAAGCCAATATTGTTTCATAGCATTTGTAGAACTAAACACCATCTTCCAACATTATTAACATGATCTCTACCCCGAGGCTTTGACTTTTTGGGGTATTTGGGAGTAGGTATTTTATGGCAGAGTAGATTGAAGTCCGCTTCAGGATTGCATTAACAATATGGTAAAAAAAAGCAAGCATGTGATACATGGTAATAAAAAGCGAGAGGTGAGTGGAGAAGTGAGAGGCGGGCAGTCACAAGGCTAACATTTGTGTGTAAAACAACAACATCCTAGTTGGATCTCACGAGAGTACATATATATGCACACACTACCTCGTCCTCGGGTATTTGTCTAGTTTTGACTTTTTACAGTCAACCACTATCAATCTTTGACCTATAATTAAATAAAAACTACCTCCTCCATCCAACAATAATCTTCCCATAAGTTATTTTCAAATCATTTTATATGAAAATTGGTGTGAAATAAAAAAATAAAAATTACATCTTTAAAAACTACATCAAAAGATCTACAAAACTAGAGGTGACATGACTATATTATTTTATCAAATGGGCATCGGAAATAGACCAACAAAGTGAATAAAGTTTGACCTTGTGAATAGTGAACTGGAAGTTAATTTTGGATGGAGGGAGTATAAAGTATATTAAAAATAAAGGATTGTATATTCACTTCCTTATGTCCAAAATTAACGGCAGCGTAGTGTTTCCTGATGCACCATGAAATCACCCCCGGAATAATCGATCTCAGATTAACCTTCAGAGAGTTACCCTCAAACCTTAGATGCCATTCCATAAGATGCTATTTAAGGATTAAATCAGGTCGCCGAGCCGGTCCATCCAACAGATTAGCAAATAGATCCCAGACTCCCTTAATACTTCCATACTGCAGCATAAATGACTCATACTAGCTTCATTCTCTTTGTAGAAAGGACATTATGAAGGTAGACACAGTTTCATTCTGTTGAGGGTCTCAGGAAAAGGTAGTATTTCATTATTAGTTTTCCACAAAATAGCTTACCTTAGGAATTTAAAGTTTATTCCAGTTGAATTTGTCACTCAATTGACTGGAAGTATATCTCCAAGGTGTTCCTCTGCCTTAACATGGACCCTAGTCACCTTCCATATCCTTTTTCTGATAGGGGAATCTGTTAATTTTTCTTTAAATATCTCAGTACTATATTTTTGTCTCACGATCTTATTGCCCAATTACTGTCATGATATCTGAAGTTCCCCCAAAGCTTGATGGAAAAAGCTTATTGTAGATCCCTAATATAGCAATATGTCTGATTCCCAATCCCCCTTCTGAGATAGGGGTGCAAATGTCCTTCCAGTTTTTCCAATGGTAATTAGCTTTTCCATTTTCATATCCCCAAAAGAAGTTGCTCATCATCTTGTGAAGAGTGTTGATCACTGTAATAGGGTAGAGAGTGGACTGCTTTAGGCGTAGAGGAATAGAGGATAGAAGAATAGCACATGTTTAATTAGAACTAACCAGCACATGCGATTTAAGGTCCTGCTATACCAGCTCTCAATATATTTGCTAAAATGTTCAATCAACCCCCCACAGTCAGCCTTCTTTTATTTGCCCTTACAAATAGGTGCTCCCAATTATTTGAAAGGCAGTTTACTGTGTTTCATCCCCAGTATAACTTCCATCTTGGAGATGGCATTCTGTCTGAAACCCTTTTCATTTACCCAGGTTTATCTCCTGACCAGAAGCCTCCAGGTAGAGTTTAAGAATCCCTTTTAGTTTAGAGAGGTTTCTGATATCCCCATTGGAGAAAATAATGGCATCATCTGCATAGGCCAGATGACTTATCATTAAGTCTAGTCCCTACCTGTGTTGAAGTTCTGAATATCTGAGGTAGCCATAGAGATGTTTAGCATCCTAGTGAGGCCTTCCCCATCAGTGAGATGAAGAGAGAGAGAGGGGGGGGGGATAG